AAAAAGCAATGAATGTTTGAAGAAACTATTCTTACCTGTGTTACTACATACAAATTAGTTTACCTCATCCACTTAATACCATCCGTCATATTATCTTTTTCCTAGGTGTCTTTTCATGTATGATAAAATTATAAGGTAAAAATAAAAATGCTTCAGAATTATATACAAGGTATATGACTGATTTCGTGATTGCGTCGATGACAAGGCGACTAATCATTTTTACTTAGGTGCTCTGACATTCCTCAAGGTTTACTTCACTCGAACTTTTAAAAGGAATGTTGGTTCCTGCTCGTTCTGATCAGCTGTAGAAGCGATTTCCTGCATGCTAGTGTCCATTTCTATTTTGCAAATGACATGGGCGAGAAAATGAAAACTAGGAATTTGACATCTCGGGCATCCACGTCGCCTTTTTCCTTTTCCCCATTAGATTTCACCAGACTACTTCTATCGTCATGATTTCTAGGGGAGTAAAAAGCCCCCTCGTGACAAAACCTCAGTCGGCTGCCTTGAAGCCATCCTTTCGATGACGTCCAGTCCTTCCCTTAGTATTCTTCGCATGACACATTTCCGTCGTCTCGCATCCATCATGAAGCTTCGTCTCCGACAGTTAAGGGACGAGGGGACGTTCCAAAGATCATCAGCTACTTTCCGTCATATTATCTTTTTCCTAGATGCGGCTAATCGGGAGTTGTGGATTTTTTTTTTCCAGTCCGTGAAGTCGCAGCGGACGTTCGCGAAAGGGGAAACCACGAGCGAAGAACGGACGAAGACCCTTCTCGACCCCACACCAGAGATGATCCAAAAGTTTCTTCGACCCATCGGCCATATAAAAGGGGCGACTCGTTTCCGTCGCACGATTGCTTCATCCCTTGGAGCGACCTCCCTCGAATCGGATCGACTCGGGCCAGCGATACTCTCCGAATTCCTCACGGAGCCCGCTTCCCTTCGATGCCACGACTGCCGTTCGTTCCCTTCGTCGCGGCTCCTTCGACGCGACTGGAAATAGGTCATCGGAGGGATTCGCGTACGGAGAGTGAATACGAAATCGATGGAATCGAGAAGGGGAAATCCCCCAACTCCAGTCTTCCGGAACGGATCGACTCCGCTTCGCTCTCCGCTCGGCATGCAAAGCCTCGTCTTTCGCGAAGGGGAACGTAAATTCGTGCCAGTCACTCATCGTAGAGCATTCGCTGCTTTCAAAAATCGGGGGTGGGAAATTCTGGAAGATCACCCGACTCGAGCATCGAGCCCCCGTACCTCCCTTCCGTTTCGTCGTGCAGAACGGACTCCTTGGAGACCGCTACGACAATGCAGCAGCGATCTCGGCATCGTAGGACGGCCGGAAAACGGGCTCTGTGAAGGACTCGTAAAGATCGCCGGTCCGAGTCCATCCAAACTCGAGGGAGGCCACTTCTCGAAACGAAGCTATCGTGTGACCAAATTTAATCATTCCTCTATTTTTGGCCCAAATGGTGGATGAACCTTTCTCACACCCCTCATACATGTCCCTTGCGAAGCACCCGATAGACGGCTTACCCATCGAGAACGGATTTGAGAACGAGATTGGGCCCACTCCCGTTGAGCGTCCCCGTCCCTCCGATGTTCGCCGAGTACGCCACGGCCAGCAGACACCCCAACCTCGCCTTCCGGTACCCCGCCTTCATCCCCTCCTCCTCCTCCTCCTCTTCCAGGGACGCCTCGCCCCACCTGGCCGGCAACAACGCAGATGCATCGACCCGCCATGGGGTTCATTTTTTTGAGAGTCGAGGCCAGGAAGTTTCTGACTGGTTTTCCACTTGGAGGACGGGCTCGTCGGATGCGACGGAGCTCTGTCGTCGCTGCACTCGATACCTTTCTTGCAGGTGGTCTCCGTGAGGTAACTCGTTCGCCGCCTCGACCTTCGGCTCCTCCTCTTTCTGCATGGGAAATCCGAAGAACATGCCATGCCCCTCACGAATGAGTGACTGGGGAGGAACAACAGAACGGAAACAA